AATAATTATGCTGAAACCGAGTTTTTACGTGTTGGTGCACCACGTTCTCGTATCTCCGATTGGAAACCAACAGATAAAGACGAAATGTTAACATTTATTGCATTGATAATTCACACTGGTACCATAAAACTCAACAGATTGAATGACTATTGGAAAACACATCACCTTTTCAACTTTTCTTGCTTTTCAAATTATATGAGTCGTGATAGATTTTTAAATTTATTAAGATGTTTTCATTTTTCACCAAATATTGAAACTAATAATCAAAACCTACCTGAGGATCGCTTATATAAAATTAGACCTTTAATTACATATTTCAATAACAAAATTATAACCATATATTATCCCAAAAAAGAACTCTCACTTGATGAGTCTATGGTGTTATGGAGAGGCCGTCTCCAGTTTCGTCAGTACATTCAAAATAAACGTCATAAATATGGAATTAAATTATACATGCTTACGGAACCTCATGGATTGGTATTAAAATTTGCCGTTTATGTAGGAGTACTCGATGACTTGGGAGGAAAAGGCCATGCAGCTAATGTGGTTTTGCATTTAATGTCCGAAAAGCTAAATAATGGCCATGCATTATACATGGACAATTTCTACAACAGTTTTGATTTAGCCTCCAAATTAATTGAAAAAAAAACGTTTTGTACTGGAAAGTTAAGATTGAACAGAAAAAATACACCACAGGATGTTGTAGAGTCAAAATTAAAAAAAGGTGAAACCGTTGCCAGGTACTCTCAAGGTGTTATGATTGGAAAGTGGAAAGATAAGAGAGATGTTGGTTATATTTCCACCGAATTTAAAAATAATTTAATAATTACCAAAAACCGAAACGGTAAAGAACAATTTAAACCTGAACCTATCTTAAATTATAACTGTTTTATGAGTGGAATTGATCGGCAAGACCAAATGCATAGCTATTATCCATTTACTAGAAAAACAATCCGTTGGTATAAAAAAATTGGTATACATATAATACAAATGTTATTGATGAACTCATTTTATTTATATAATCAATATCACGCCGGACCTAAAATATCATTGTATGATTTTCGATTATCCATACTCAGTGAACTTTTGCCCAAATATCCAAAACCTAGATCTTTTTCAGTATTACATACTAATCATTTTCCAAAAACTCACGATGTTGGAAAATCTGGAAGACCTAACAGAAAAAGATGTCATCTGTGTTATTCTAAAGGGATAAGAAAAGATACAACATACTTCTGTCCAAGCTGTCCGGAAAAGCCCAGTCTTTGTCATCAACCATGTTTCAAAAATTTCCATAAATAGTTTAAAATAAAATAGTAAATAATAAATATTAAATAGTCAGTTTCCGTTTTTTTTAATTATAATAACGTGTTCACTTTTAATTATTTATCTAATTAATTTATTTTTAAAATAATAAGGAATAATGATGTTTTCATTTTATTAAATTAGAAGTACATATTTACTTTTAGTTATTTATTAATTTAATTGCATTGTAAAATAATAAGTAATAAAGTAACAATTTGGTATGATAGTTGTGAGTAACTGTTTGGTATACCTAGCATAACAAATTTGGTATGACGCCAATTGGCGTCAATCAGCGTCAGATAAAAGCAAAGTGTATGTGGTGTGGATGACGCCAATTGGCGTCAACGAAAAAAAAAACCTTGAATTACTCCCGCACATTTGAATGTGTATTGTAATATGATCCGCAGTGAACGTGTTAAAAAAACAACTTGAAATATTAAAAAAAGAAACTGCTGACAGGGAGATGGCTCTGAAACAATTTTTAACTGAACAGCAAATAAAAATGCTTACTAAGGAAAGACTAGTACAGAAATGGGACAATGAAACAATTATGAAAGCATTAAAAATTCGTTTTGCTGTTGGTGTTCATGGTTTTCAATTTTTAAGAGAAATTCATTTTCCATTACCCTGTTATAGCACCATAACTCGTCGACTACAGGGTCTTACATTGGAATTTGGATTGTTTGAATCAATGTTAGAACCTTTAAGCTATAAAGTTCAACAGTTGGAGAAAGAAGACAAATTCTGTGTTCTTTCGTTTGATGAAATGGAAATTAGCTGTGAAGAATCATATGATAAGAACCATGGTAAATGTTGTGGAAAGACTACTCTTGGTAATGGAAATAAACTTGGAAATAAACTTTTATTAGTGTTGCTACGTAGTGTAAAGAATAATTGGAAACAAGTAATCGGTGGTCATATCACAGATGGGGCCCCTGCTCCTGAATTATTTAAGCAGTTTATTTTTGATTGCATAGAGTTTTGTAAACATACCGGTTTGAAAATTGTTTCACTATCTCCTGATATGGGAAATGAAAACAGATCATTATGGAAAGATTTAGGTGTAAAAATTCAAAAAACTGATATTCGACAGAATAATTTTATTTATGATAATAATAATGTATTTATTATGCCAGACGTATGCCATTTGATTAAAAATTTAAAAAATTCTGCATTAAGGAACCCAATAAAATTACCTAAAGAATACTGTGAAGCAGAAGTTCTACCTACAGAATATGTTCACTGTAAGTTTGTGGTAGACTTGTGAAATAATGAACAGCGAAAGGATTCAAATAGAGATGAAGAACATCGCTTACTGCATTACTTGAAAAGAGAAGATATATATCCAAATAATTTTCAAAAAATTAATGTTGGGGCAGCAGTACGATTTTTCTCTTTGAAAACTGCAGCTGCAGTGGAAACTGCTGTTAACTGTAAATTTTTATCCAAAAATGCACTTAACATTGCTCATTTTATTAGATTAATCGATGAATTTTTTTTATTAACATCAAGCAAATTACGGAAAACATCAATAACCCAAAGAAACAAAGAAAAAAAATATGATTTCCTTCAGAAATTGATTGGAACAGTTAAACAGACTGAGTTTGGTTTAAATGGATGGAAACCTTTGAATGTTGGTCTCATTATGTATTCATTATCAATTATTGAAACGAGTGAGCTATTGTTTTGTAATGGATTACACATAAAAAAAATTTGGCACATTCTCTAGACAGAATAGCTAAAGAAATACGTAAAAATTTCCCGATATAGATGCCTTTATTTGGAACGTAAAAAAAAGATTTTTTTGAAATGCCCATCTCGAGTATTGAAATTTAAAGAAATGACGCCAGGGATACCAATGCTCCCTCAACCAATACTAACTTGGTGGGGTACATAGTTATCGGCATGCATAATACTATTTTGAAAATTATCAATTGATTAAATCTGTTATGATGGAGTTTGATAAAGAAGATTCTGTAGCAATTGAGAATGTACAAAAACTGTTAAATAATAATAATTTGGAACTTAACTTGACATTTAATAAAGCAAATCATGGAAATTTATCAAAATTACATTACTACATTGGAAACATTTGGATTATCGTTGGTTGACGCAATTAATATTATTCCTCAAGTACAAAATGAAATTGGAACAGACAACAGTAGTATCGGAAAATCTACTAAAAAAAAAATTAGACGCTGTAATTGAAAAAAATTCGGGATTTAAAACAATGAAACATATTTCAAATATTTTGGAAGGAAAAGCAACATCTCGAAACAATACAATATCTGAAGAACTAACATGACATGGCTCAAATGAAGTTTGCACCTTTGACGTCAGTTGACATGGAACGAAGTTCCTCGAGATACAAAACAATACTAGCTGATAACCGTCGAAGATTTATAATTGAGAATATAAAGCAGTACCTGATTATACAGTGCTATGAAACAAAAAGTAAAAGTATAACGAATATCTAAATTATATACCTATTCATTTTTTAGAAATAATTTTTAGGGTAAAAAGAATATGGCCAGAAGATAATTGAGAAGACAAGAGAAGTTTTTCTTGTATTTAAATATTTTGTATCAGATAATTTTTTTATAATAATGTGTTTTTTATAAGTTTTAAGTTCGAAATTGTGTTTTTATTGAATTTAAATATATTTTTAAAGTTAAAGGGTATTTTTTTAGGACATTTTTTTTATTTTTTATGGCATTAATGTCCGTTCCTACTATGCCTATTTTTAATACTAATCATTGATTATTATTGAAAATAGGCATAGTGCGAGATCTGGATTGAATTGTGACGTGATACTTGTTGTGGTTGAGGAATAAGTCGAAGTTAGAGACCTAGTCATATTAAATATGTAGTATATAATAAAAGAAAAACTATATTTTAGTAGTGGAAAAATGGGAAATAGAGTTGATAAAAATACTAAACGGCCAGAGAGCTTAGGTGACAACATTGCTAAATACCAGATGATATATGGTCAGAAACTGAACCAACAACACACGTTTTAACAAATTATTTCCTAACAAAGAAGTAAGACCTAAGGTAAGTAAAATTGCCTATTCTTAAGGATTCAAAGTCAGTAACCTAGTAATCTGTGATCATCTGTAACAAATGCCGTGGAGAAATCAATAATAGTGATACCGAATCTTAGGAAAATATAAATTTTAAGTGTATATTTTAAATTATGTTTGTTGTTAAATTATGGTTTGTTTCTTAACTAAATATTTTGTAAAAATATTTCAAGTACCTATAAACTGATGTTCAGTACTTATACACGTTTATATACACCATTTAGTTCCTACACAAATCTTTGTTGTTTTTTCTACATTAAATCACATTTAAATGATTCGAATATATATTCTTTAATTGTTCCTCCATTTCAATATAGATTAAAGTAGAAGACAATGAATGATATAAAACAATCTTAATAACTTGAAGTGCACGTATTTACACTATATCGTAGAAAAAGCACAGTAATGTATATAATAAAAATGCTTATGCCATAATTATTTTCAAATGGATAAATTATGAACAAATTATGTATTCTCTAGGTATACAGCTAAGTGAATTGATCATTAGAATAAAATAAAGTACAAATAAAACGCGGGGGCGTTTCGAAGAGCGCTATTTTACTCTGCTCAGTCCATTCTCTTTACGTGAGTGAGTTCAAGACGATTTAATGTTCGCCTTGACATTTGGCATCAAGTGCACTTCTTGCTTTTTCATTTCTTCAACTGTAGATGGTACTAAACATATAATTTTCTGTGAACCTGACATGAATTTATTGAAACAAAATCTTTGGACAAACACCGAGTCGATATAGTTTCACACTGGCAGCCGACAATCGAAGTATATACGTGTAATATAGACCCAACAAAGTGACGAAAATGAAATTTGGCTTACAGGTAATATAAAAAAGATTATATATAATATATATTAACTCAGATTCTTATAAGAATAAAAACTATTTTATTATACTAACAAATTTTAATAAAATTATAAAGTTAAATCACTACTCTAATATGTCTCTTTAAGTTCACTTTCAAATAAATATTTTATAAATCTATTTTGATGGTTACATTTTTTTCTCCTTATTTGGATTTGATCTATTGTGTCTTCACTGTTATAAAATAAAATATAAATACTCCATCTAGAGAAAAAACTTAATTTTATACAAATAAAAAAAAAATGTATTTTCTAGTTACTATTTATATTAATTTGAATATTAATTTTAAATATCATAATTGCTTCACAGATTATAAATCATGCTAGATATCAAATATAAATTTTATCCTTAATATGATTATGAATATAATATTTTATATTTTTTATTCAAGTTGTAGGTATAGATATACAACACACTTTTATCAAACAAATTTAACATTTTTAAGTGTAAAATTATTATACACTATAACTATCAGTCTCATAAAAATATAATGATCCTGTTGATAATGTTACACAATATATTTAAATACACATTAACTCAATTAAATATTACATAATCATGATTAATTTCTGCGTACTGTATATGTGATCGTGTGATACGACAATACATATTATACATCACTATTATTTATTGTTCACTTTTTCAGTATAATTCGATTACAAATAACAAATTATTGTACTTTTGTATTCATTGAATGTATGATATTTAAATCTTAAAACAGATGATTAGAAGAGCATTAGTATAACCACCTACATAACATAGCAAATAAAATAAATTAATAATTCATCCACAAGTCGTATAATTAGTTATATCGATACAAAAATATTATTATATTGTTGAAAACAATTGGTTTTGAAGAAATTAAGTTACGTAATTATGGTATTATATTTATTCCAAGATATTCGTTGAAGGCTGAACTATCTATTTACTAGCATTAGTTGTTTTATTTGTCAAAATAAAATTTTAAAATCAACTTTTTTTTTAGTTCATTTTATCGCTTACCTTGTTGTGGTCAAAAACTCTTTCTCAAAATGTTTACATCCCGATTCAAGAAAATGAGGTACCTAGCTAATTAATATAAAAAAAAATTAAAACTTTAATCATACAGAATTATACAATTTATTGTTATAACCAAATAATTATTTATATGTACTTATATATGTACACGTTGTTAATATTATAGTTAGCGTACGAGTTTCATTACGATATTAATGACTTACTTTCGGGCGTTGTAACTCATCGTTGGGAAAGAAGGTATGGTAACTACGTAAAAGGATCATACAGCTTTTTAGAATCTAATGGTATGATAAGAAATGTATATTACATAGTCGATGGAAATCATGGATATAGAGCGATAACGAAATTTACGAATCCACAAAAAGGTACATTTTTCAATAAATTTTACTACATTTAATTTAAAATATTAAAAAAATTATTAGATATTATATAATATATACATTTCGAGGTTCTACATTCATATAAGATACATCATTGTATAATATAGATATGCCATAAACAGTTATGGAAGAACGAAAAAAATTGGAAATAATTATGGTAAATATTATGTAGCATGGTTCATACATTTTAAACAATAGTAGTTATATATATTTAATGTTAAATATTTTATGTAATACTATATTTTTTTTTAAAGGTTATTAAGTTTACTTTTCTTTTTTTAATATTTAAATTATATTTCTAGTTAAAAATGGTTTAGATAATTGAAGAAAAATGATTGTATTATATAGTAATAAATATTCATTTATATTTTTTTGTGATTTTATTAAAGATCACATTAAATTCCTATATTGCATGCTCTATAAAAATATATAAAAATGTGTTTATAAATGTAAATAAAAAATTTAAATTTAAAATTAATAAAAATTACAATGTCAGATGGTATCCATGCCAACGATGACATTAAGGTTGCCTTTATGAAGACAATTTGCTGTGATTGAATCATTTTAAAATTCTGATACTTTTGAGATTGGAAAAAAATATTTCTCCCTTATCAAGAAATACATATGACAAGTAGGACGATGAATGGGTGGGGCAAGGAGGGATAAGGCCCAGGGGCCCGTACCTCCGAGAGTGGCCGTCATCTTAACCTTTTATACAAAATTATTTTATAATCTCATTTGTTATAACATAAGATGCAAATTTGAATATTTTTATTGTACTTAACTATCAGAAATTTAAGTATAATATAATATAGTAGTAATATAATAGTATAATACTAACAATCAAATTTATATACGTATAAATGCAGGGGCAGAACTAAGGGAATGGAAGACGGGGATTCATCCCCTGGCATACAATTTTAAAGGATGTAATTTTTGTAATTATTAACAACTAATTTGATATTTTTAATTTTGTTAATTACTGTTATTAGATTAAAACTCAATAAGTATGATTGCATATTATTAGAAAAAAATTCTCGAGAAGAGTATTTGGTTATTGTTCTATGATAAGGAATAATTTTAACATTTTCCCTGGGCGTAAAAATTCCTAGTTCCACCTCTGTATAAATTAAGTGTGATTTTAAAATATTAAATGCACATTTAAACTGTAATTAATTTAATGTGATGTTTTATCTAATTTTATGTAATTACATATTTCAGTGATATCATTCAATGCATCTTCTATCAACAATCTTCTCAAATCTCAAGTCTCAACTAATTAAAATGTCAATACAGAATTACAAATTATTTTTAACAAACATTTTAAAATTGTAATTATAAGCTATATATTATTTCAATCTATAGTTATATTACAAAAAATAAATTTCATTATAAATAAATACTCTTTATATATTATATATATATGTAAACATTTTACAATCCGAAGTTGCTTCCGTTAAAATAAATTTTATCTATTTTCTGTTACTATCCCTAAGATTAAACGCATAAAGAGGCGTACTAACGGGGGGGTTAACCACCCCCCGAAATTGTTGGGAAGACTTTCATAAAACTTAAAAAATTATTTGCGATCAAATATATCTGAAGACTGATTAGTCAATCTTTCAACTGAAATCGAAATCGCTGAAGAATTAGACATGGATAAACTTATACCTACAGAGCTTTGTTTCTCTAAAAGCAAGAAAAATCAATTTTAAATAAAAGTAAGTTTGTTTTATTTTATTTTATCAATATTATTATTATAATAATTTGTTTAATTTTTTAAGATTATAATAATGGTTTAGTTATTTGTAAGCTTATAAGTGAATAATATTTTTAAAAAGCAAAAAATATTTGATTACATGAATTCCTAAAATCTAAATACATGCATCTAATAAATTTACAATAAAATATATAACTTTACAAAAAAAGACATTCAAACAAAACAATTTAAATGTTTTTCGTGTAGGTATATACCACATAAAAAATGGAGGGAGGGATTAAATTAAAATTAGAGCTCAATTTTTTTTTTTTTTATGTAAAAAAAATTGATTTTGCCTATTACATTATTTTTGCTTGAGCCAACACTACCTATTTTAATCTATAATTTTTATCGTATTAATACGGCACTGCTTGTGTTAGTAAATATTTCTAATATATCACCCGTCAAACTAAGTGACGAACAAAACTAGTATGCGTTATTTAATTTTTTTATTCATAAATATATTAAAAATAATAACGAATAAAAATGAATAATCCATTAAAGTTTACGATGTATCTTAATTGATTCAGGATCACCAAATTGTTTTAAAATGAACCTCCCCCCCAAACTTCAGGTCTTCAGGTACGCCACTAGACGCATATATTTTATGTAAATCAGTAAATTACATTATTATTTATTACTACAATGTGCGTTGATACAACATGTTGGTTAATGGTTACCAAGGAAACATTTGATTATTGCATCAATATTAACCACAATAAAATAATAATAATATAGCGTTGTCTGTTCGTATTCTTTTATTATTAGCGACAACATTACACTTAATTGCTATTACTTATTATTGTACTTATTCCATAAAATATTGCTATTGTATTAAAATTAATTTAATACATTAACTCCAAAAGGCATAACGATTATAAAAACTTTAACAATGGAAGAGCTAAAGGACAAAAGTTTACATTTAACAGCAGAAAAATTAGCCGAGGAACTTCAAAAAATGGACAACTATACCACATTTTATGAAGATTTGCAGGCGAGTAAATTTATTTAAAAACTGTAAACTTAGTTTAAACTAATGTATTTTTTAAGTTAATAGTTTTGCATCACACTTATTAACATAACATACTATTTTCATAATAATTTATTTGAATATATATTATAATACACTTAAGTTATTAAATTAATCATTGATTAATATATGAGAATACTCAAATTTATTCCTATATTTAACTACAACTAAATTATATAAGTCATCAATATAAAAGTTATATTCAATGTATGTATGTATTATATATTCAATTCTATGTATAACAAAGGCATGGAAAATACTTGACTGATAAATCATTATCATTTATAAAAAATTATACCAAAACAAAAATTGTAGGTATTTTGATAAAACAAAATGATTTAATTTTAATTATGAAATTTCCGAAAGTTAGGTTAGGTAAATGTAAATATAAATGTAAATATAAATTAAAGTTAGGTACATGCATTATTATTACTAGATTAGACTAAAAATATTAAATATTTAAGTTATCCATATAAGTATAAAACTTATTTATTAATTATATTACACATAGGCAGGCATGGATACATTGGGAGGAATATGGGGACTAAAGCCCCCTATAGGCTTTAGGTACTAAAAATATTTCAAAGATTATCAAAATTTTCAATTTATTAATTAAAGTAAAGAGAAGCAATTTCATAATTATAACTAGGGTCCGGATTTCAATACAAAATGGATCTTTTTTTATATTATCTTAACAATACTTTCGAATTACATAATTTGTTTTTGTAACAAGTGTCTGTTACTAAGACGAAAATTTTATATTGCATTTTTTCAGTTTTTTTTTGTTGCATTTTTCAATTTTTTCTCATTTTAAGAGTATTTTTGTATTTTCGGTCATTTTATTTGTTTTAATGTATATATTGTACAGTATATGAGTATATTTTTTAGTATTTTTACAAATTATAAATTTTAATTTTAAAATCACCTTCTAGAAATTTGAAGTTTAAATTTATGAGCCAAATTATTCCTTTATCAACTCAACCAATACTAATCCATTGAAAACTTGAATAGAAGTTGCAGTACACTATTTTTTATATTTTCAATTTATTAAATGAGCAATCGATGAATTTCAAGAAAACAATGCCATAGTTATCAAAAAAGCGAAATATTTAATAACAGTCAAATAAATTGAATCAAATTTAATTTTTATAAAAGCCAACCATAGAAATATACCAAACTGAATAATTTTTAAAATTATATCTTTAGCTGAGATAATTGGTATCATAAATTATACCAAAACCTGCACTTCAAATATTACAAGTAATTATGAAAAAATATGAAAAAGCAATAAATAAAAAATTGAAAACGTCTTAGAAAAAAATTGTAGTTATACTGCAATGGTAACAATTTAAAAAATTTTAGAAGACAAACCTCTCTAACAAACATATCAGAAGAATCTAACACCAGACAATATTTATCACTTTAAATATGCTCTTCAGTCAATATCATCGTCGCCAATTACAAGTCAATATTTTCAATTTATTTTTAATAAAATTATAAATTATGTAATAATTTATTAATATTTATTATTTTTATGAAAGAATACATTAAAAAAAATGTATATGTAATGTCATAATTTTTAAAGAAATTTTTAGCTGTTTTTTGTGCATTTTTATATGATTTTTAATAAATTTAAATCTGGGTCTTACTTATAACATATTTTTTTATATTACTTATTGATATTTAGGAGTGATTAATAATCGTGATTATTTATGTTCTTTAACATTGGCATAATTAGGTGGAGGCTAAAGGGGTATAAACCCCCAAATATTTATCTATCCTCCACATAATAAGTACAAATACTAATAACAAAACTTAACCACTCCAAAAATAAAATCCTAGTTACGCCTTTGGTCCTCAAAGTTCTTTAACCTAAAAGGTTAAAAATAGAGGTTTGGTCAAATTAATCTAACAGTAACTGCAATTAATTTACAAGAAAATCCGGATATCTTTTACCAGTTAGTGTCCTGTCATAAAAATAAGGATCTAAAAATGTTCCACCGATTAACCCACACCACACATTTATATCCTAGATAACCTGAAAGTTAGTTTTACGTGACACGTGTGGATTTGATTGTCTTAAAATCTATGATTTTATTTATTCATTATACCTACCATTATTTATAAATTTAGACACATTTGTCCACAAAGACCCTTTTTTATTTATGTCTTATCTGTCAACAAACAGATATTTAACAGTATCGGAAATTTTATTTTGATTTTCATGTATTAAGTTAACATAAAAAAATTTCGTAAAGACCTAAATTTAATCATAAATATTAAACTTCAACATACTATAACTTTGCCAATTTTGAATTAGAAAAAATTTTTTATTTAAAAATTATTAAAAAATAAATACTTTACTCAAACTTGCAGTTTTGAGCATTATCTAGATAAATTATCTAAATAAATTATCTAGATGATAAACAAAAATCCGAAAAATTATTTTAAATTAATTTTTGAGTTATCTACTTTAATTTGTCTAGATAAATAAATGCGAGTATATTTACTCAAAAAATTCGAAAAATTGATCTTGAAAGTTAAAAACTAATAAAAATTTAAAACTAATGAAAACTTATTTATAATTCATTACTATTATTTTAAAAGTTGTGTTACTATGTTACTGTTTTGTGTTACTTGTGTTAGTTGTGTTATATTTCATAAAGAACGCAGTATTTAATTTTACTACAAATCAATTTTATAAGAAATACATTATTAATGATACATATTGTTTCATTATGAGTTGAGGTTTATGGATGAAATACAATACCGTGCGAATGACCCACTATATTCGCTCAACACGCAGTGACTCTGTCCATGAAATTACAAATTACGTTTTCGCAGACTTGCCCATCGAGTTCACTTATGATTCGTTGAATTTCTTGTTTAAAATCTAATAAAGTTCGCGGTTTGTTTGCATAAACCAGCAATTTAATAAAGCTCTAGCGGATGAAGTCGCATGGTGTAAAATCACACGATCTTAGTGGCCACTACTGATGGCCACAGAGGGAAATTAGTAGGCCGTCGAATTGTTCACCAATCAATACTAATATGGTTCCAGAATTGTGACAGATAGCACTATCTTGCTATCTCATGTTTCGATAACGATCTCCGTTCAATGTTTCTGATATTCCATGTTAATCTTCAAAATTTACTCGGATTCACAGTGAAAAAGTCACTAACAATAACGATGTTTTTATTCGAATTTTTGGATCGTTTGTGTCTAAAGTTAATTAAAAGCTTTTAATGTTTGCAGTTGATCCTGTCTCTTCAAATATTTTAACCAGCCTCTTTATTGTTGTTGTAGTCGGTGCTTCACGGTGTCCGAGAATCGTACGGAATTTCCTAAAAGTTACCGCAACACACTCGCTGTGTTTATAATGAATTTTAATCAACAAAACACGTTGCTCGATTGTATACTCTATGACGACAAATAAACAAAATATATAATATACTGATGAATTTCTAAAAACCTATAGCTAACTGAAATTATAAGAACAGTTCCGACAACACCAAAAAATTACTCAGCATTTCAAAAACTGCATTCTTTATGAAACATTCTATATGTTTAATTATATTATTTAAATTGTGCCTATAAATATTATTTTTAAGAATTGTTTTCATATTTAATAAAGATTATTTAATTTATACTTTCTAGTGACTCTTACAGTATTTGATTACTAAGAATGAGAATTAAATAATACATATAATGGTTGAATTAGCTATTTAATATTTTAACCATTAATATTACTTCATAATAAGTATTATATAAATTGTAATGAATTGTTTTATAAAATTATAATATACCTAAAAAGTATGTATTTTTTTAAAAACTAAGTACTCATTATTTAATTCTCACTTCCCATATATAAATGTACATAGTATAAATATTTTTTGTTCATTATTTATATTGGAGGTGCCTATTAGATTAAAGTTAAGTTAATTTTAATTTGATTTACCTAATTTTTTGAGTATAAATTTAGAAAAAAAAAGTGTAAATTAATAAAATAAAAATAAAGTTATTTTTTTTCTCTAGATAAATAGTGCTTTATCTTTTATCTTAATCTAGATAAATTTTTAATTATTTTTACGTAACACTGCGAGTATGTAGAAAAAAAAAGGTATTATTTAATTTAAAAAAAATTAAGTTATATTGCGCATACGCGTACAGTCAGGGTCAACAATTTAAAATTTGGCTAAGATTGTATATTTTGGTACTCCCTTTCATTTCTTGAAACCCCCATTTCAATACAAGATCATCAAACTGAAATATTAAGTGGTACCTCTTAGCGTGAACACACTATGTCTAAATATTGAAAACTTATATGATAATAAAAGAAAATCTATATAAGCTAAATTTTGATGATTTGTTCTTTTTATTAATAATTTATTAATTTTTATATACTAAATATGGTAATACCTATAGTATTACATTAAAGGCTTAGAGAAAGGGTTTGGGAATCCAACCACTTCACCATTATCAAAATCCCAGTTCGTAAATAAATAGGTAATAATAAAAAAAATATTACCTTAATGTATCAAACATTAATAATCTTTACCTACGACCTTGTGTTCGATTGAAATATAGCAGTATTTAGTATTTAGTATGGACCCTTGTACTTATATAATCATCAAATTATCAAAATATTCAAATACCGTAGTACATTTTTAGGTAATATAATAATTATATTTTAATTATTGACAATGTAACAAATGTATATTTTTAGGTATTAGCTGCGTCATACGACGTATCAATAGATGACTTTAAAAATACTTTAGTCCAGGCAGTAAATAAAGGAAGTATGGAAACAAATCTCAGAAATGCAGTATTTCACTGGTTAAGAAGTCATGAAAATAATAAACAAATGGTTGTTAGGGAAGAAATAACGAGTAGAGAATCGTTAGATTATTTGAGAAAAGCTCAAGTAACATAACAATATTATGTACACCTAACACCTACATCTAATAAAAAAAATGTTAAATGTCACTATTGGTTAATAACACAGATTACTTGGGAAAGAAGAATACAAAAATCATTGGAGTCTATGTGCGAGGAAATTGGTATACATTTATCTTATTATAGATCCAAAGCAGATCGAGATGAAATGTTACAAAAATGGAACGAGCTCAGTACATACAATACTAGTAAACATTTCTTAAGTTTTATTAATTTGTGTTATAGATTTTTAATTTATTATATTATATTTATATTTATAATTTGTAACATAGAAAAATATTTTGCATACAATTTGAAAAATAATAAATTATATACTTACACATTTTTTATAAAATGTGCATTATTAATAATATTTGAATATTATTAAGCTATTACAAAATTATATTTTAATAGATTTAGAACGTTTGAGACCAGTTTATGCTCCAAAAGATTTTTTAGAAGTATTATTTTCATTGCATAACCCTAATTATCGAATGATATCGTAAGTATCAAAATGTATTTATTATTAATATACCAATCAAAAGAATCGTAGAGTATAAGTTCAATATATTATACATATACCTAGTTGTGTCATTTGGAAAGAGGGATAACTAATGCATTTGCCACAGTCTAGAGTTTAGTCTTTCTTAAGTCGGCACGTTGTCAAAATATGAATACATATGTAGTTTATATTTAATATAAGTATTTTATAAAGCCATTGATATTTTGTAAAACGGAAAAATTTACAATTTTATAATAAACCACAAAGGCCACGACCATAGAAAAGGGAATAAACACAACTGATTATTCAAATACACCACAGTTAGCACACGCGTGTTTGCTGACGGGTACCTATGTACAAAGTAAATTTAAAATTCATTATATATTTAGAATGGTTTGACGTAACCCTCCCCAAATGTTAATTGGTATATATTTAAAATGAACCGTGAAATTGGCAATTATTAAGTATTAATAAGTATAATTAATTTATAAGTATTATTATTATTAAGTATTTATAGACTATTATATTTAGTGCAAATTTTATTTTTATTTTTTACAAACCCCTTAAACCCACTACTCGTATGACAGCTGTCGTTAAACTAACTTTAAGTTGGCAAAATAATAAAAACATGCTTACTGCCCTATTCTAGAAGAACTGTAAAATGTTGATAAATAGCATGCTTTCATTATATAAAAGGAGAAACTCGAATTATCTTCCATCAATCTCTCAAACCCCGAACACCTCTTCGGTCGCCCCTGTAATGCAAACATTTTTAGGTTTTAAGAATTATCTAAAGCAAAAAGATTTACCGCTATCTTAGTCGCATATTTTCATATTTTCTGCGAGAGAGTTAACCGGTAAAATTTTTTAAAAATGTATAAATATCTTATATTTGTGAAAATAACTTTATTTTATAAAATATATTTGTTCGTATAAGCTTGGTAAGTCATGAGTATTTATTTAGGTTCTAATAGGTCAAAGTTTGGAACCCTTCCCCCTACAAATATGCTATTATAGTTTTGCCATCACTCATTATTGTTGAAGTAGACATTATTCGATGTTTATTAGCTAGAAAGTGTATTGATGATAAATAATATTAATAAAAACCAACTGAAATAAGAATTAACAAATATATTTTGAATTTTATTTAGAGATGATATGATATGGGACTTTACCTACTTACCGTTGAAAGTTAAGACACTGTCTGAACTCGTAAGTTTTTAAAGCGAAATTATTTAACAAGTTTATTTATCTTTGGCACATCTAAATTCTTTCCGGGAAAATGTTTAAAATATTTATTTAATAATCATAGATTACTTTTCTAAAATTTAAACCTAAAAATAAAAACGAAGTATAAGAAATAATAGTATCAGGGAAGTGGCAGCAGGAGTATGTATGGAACTAAAGCTTGCTCTGTCTTTTATGCCCTTTTAGACGTCGGTCGATATTTTAACTTTAAAATCTTCTAGTATTTTACCCACTACAACATACCGATGGCGTCGCAGCATTGCAAATAGTTAATCATTATTAGCTACCAAAGGTCATTTAAAGCTTTAAAGTAATAAAATGTATAGGTAGTCAGATAAGTTACTCGCATTAATTATTTCTGTCCTGTCCAATATTGAAATAATATTCCTGAATAGGATATATATAAACTTTTGATTCGGAGACATTTCGTTACTAGGGCAGTGCTAGCTCATTGGATTTAGGGTTTAGTGCAGAATTTTGAAGAGTCACACATAAATTTATTTAATTTACTCGTACTTTAATTATATATAATTTTACAAACTTTGAAGTTTTTGATACAGTCGTGATTTTCCTCGATGTTAATATTTAATAACCCTTTTCTGGGGAAAATATTATTATAAGATTATTTCTAAATAAAGTGATATTCGTGATTTATAGTATGCGGTGCCCGATGCGACTGCACTGCTCCCCCCTCTTTCATAAGACTGACACTGAACTAAGGAATTACATAGTCCTTGTATTAGATATGCCACTGTCAACATTTAGATATATTTCCAGTGTAGATATTTTACTAAATAATGTTTACATGCTTCTGTTTTTACAATTTCAGAGACATCTCTATAGAGATTTAGCCACAGCTGATTTACTCTTGGGCTTAACAACGTTGACAAAAATGTCCTGTGGTTCAACGTTACAAGGAGAACAAGAGCGAATCGCTTTAGGAGAAAAAGGTTAAATGAAATTTTCAAGTTATTACGGGTAGAAATACTTAAAAGTATATATTCAGTTTTAGAATATCAACACGCTCCAGTTTGTCAAGAATTTTTGAAACTATGTGCACCACGCAGCCTTCGAGGCAGGCTTTGGACACAGATTCTAGGATCCAATGTTAAATCGTCGGTAAATGCCTTATATTATAATAATAACTAGTTATAGTAAATTATATTTACTTGCATGCCTCATTAACATGACAATGTTTACCAAATAAGTATATTATAACAATACAGTGGCGTCGAAGTCAGTTTTTAGTAGTATTGCAAAGCTTACCTGCAAAGCAGATCCACCCACCTACTCAAAGTAGGTTATGTGACTGTCCTCAATTTTTTTCCAGCTATCGGATCTAAAATTTTAATAACTACAAGTAATAAGTAAATTAAGAGGAGTATATAAACCAATGAAATAGTGGACTGCAGCCCCACTCCACCCCCGAAATTATTACAGTCATTACTAACATATTTTTCTATGTATATGTTACCGGAAAAGATGACAATCAGTCCGTGTTGACAATGACTAGTCAATAACGATAGTGCCTGATTTAGTAAGGAATTAATGTCAATACCTAGTCATTGATAACAATTCCTAATAAAAGAAGGCATTGATAATAACATTAAAAATGAATTTAATATATTTTAATACTTATTAGCTATTTAGGATAAATCATAATCTTAATCTTTATTGTTACGTGGTAAATTACTATGACACTTGGAATTATATAATATAGTACAGCGGTACCCAAAATGTGCTCCGCGAAGCCTTTGGTGCTCCGCAATGGTTTGCCTAGGGCTCCGTTAGTAACACCACAAAAAATTTAAAAAAAATGTTCGTCATTTAAAATTAATATATATTTCATGAAGGCTTGAATATTCCATAATCAGATGGATCACCGATAAAACGGTGTTGATATTTGCTTGAATGCGGATTTATAACATTGCCTAATATAATATGGCTACGAAATATCCAACATTGCCTAACCTTTCCAGTCATTGTCAACAATGACTAAGATATACTGACAATTCCTGAATTTTCATATTTTCCGGTAACATATATATATATATAGTCATATAGATTCAATGGTCAACCGTCATTGGACAGAAGTCCATATAACGTAACCTTTATTTTATTAATAATACATACATATTTTTTATTAAACTGTGTTGGATATAGCAGTTATAAAACAAATTGAAAAAAATTGTTTTAATTTCTTAATAAAAATTCTCAGCTCATTTAAAAATATTAAAATTAAAATTAGCTTTATTAACTCAATGTGAAAATTTATAACAAATTCTTCAACTTCTAATTTAATTTTAATAAAACTATTATTTTCTCGGTTGTTTAGCTCAGCAATTTTTTTTTATAGCAATGAATATAAAAATATAAAAAAAATATAGTAATGACTGTAATTTCTATTAATGTGGTACATGCAAGCAAATCTAAGTCTTTGGTCTGTAATATCTTGTTTAATGGTTCTAGGGTATGGAATATTTTTTGATAGATGTGTGCTGTGTACAGGAAACGATAAGATTTAAAATATTCTAATAGCCTACTAGCAGTTACATCAACTTTTGCATCACTTGGTCTTTTTGTTTTGCAAATAACTTCAAGAGTAGCAACAGTAAAATTAAACTATTTAAAACAGTTTCAAAAGGTGAAGAATGAGAAGACCATCTTGTTTTGCATACTCTTTTTAGAGCTATCATTTTATTATCTTTGCGATCATTTATCCATTTTTCTTGATGTTCTCTGAATATAGCAACTCTTTTTTTTTAACACCAAATAAATTAATATAGGGTTTCAATGTTTCCAAATAAATCTATTGCATATTTATTGGAGGTTATAACGTTTTTTACAACCAAATTTAAACAATGAGCATGTATACCAAGTATACGTAAATTTTTAATTAATATTTTTAATATGAGACTGTAATCCTTGAAACTCTCCTGTCATATTTGCTGCGCCATCATAGGACTGACCAATAAGATTTTCTGTCCAGTTTAAATTGAATTTACTCATATTTTTTTTAAATAGTTCAAAAAGGTCTATACCAGTTGTATATGCACATTCTTCGATAGCAATAAGTCGTTCATAAACCATTCCTGTATTTTCATCAACATATCGGACAATAAATGATGTCTGTTCTTTCCGTGAAAAGTCAATTGTGGAATCTATGGAAATACTAAATAATTGGCCTTTGTAAAGTTCTGTTGTAATAGTTGTAGAAATATCTTGAGCAATACAATCAATTATTTGGTTTTGACGTTCCCAACTGATAAAAGACAATTCTTTTTTACCATTAGTTTTAATTTTAGTTAAGTGTTCACTGAGGACAACTGAATTTTCAGCCAATAATATGATCATATCCTTAAATTGCCTTTTGAACTATATGTAGAAGAAAAACTTTCTCTATGTCCTCTAAAAGACAAATTATGTTGGGCTAGAAAAATTATAATATTTATTAATTCAGAAACCACTTGCCTATTGAAGGGTATCTGCATTTTCCACCCATATTCTAAACTTAGAATAATTGGAGTACACTGGGCTCTAGTTTTTATTTTTACTGAAGATAATACATGGTCAGTAGATGTTTCATGTTTGTTGATACTTAAAATACCATTTACCCATGTACAAAATCCATCTTTGGTTCAAGTTTTAAAAGCACTTTTTATAATGCAAGTTGTTACCATATAATAAACAATGTAAACAAAATAGTTTGTTCGCAGGAGAGTACGATAACCAATCTCTATGAATTTTGGTACCATCTTGAAGGACTCTGTGAAACCATAAATGATTAAGTCGACGACCTAGTGTGTTCTTTGGGGATATTTTTTTTCAGGTAATTCTTCTGGTAGTGGGTGACATGATTCCATAAAAAAAAATGATTTCTCAGCCTTGGCGACAATGATTCTTTTTCATATTTTAATAAAATAGCTGGATCATTTTTCCATTCTGTAAAGAAAATAAATATATATTGATATAAAATATAATTTAAAGTTTATATATAGGTTTTAATAATATATTATCTCACCTTTTAAAATATCTTTAAATTCACTAGAGGAAGATAAATTAGGTACACTTTCCACAGCACAATCAAATATTTTCAAACCAGGTTCAACAGATTCACTTTTGTCAAGAGTTATATTATTGTTTGTACTTAAATGCGATTGACTTACAACATCTTCTGAAACAAGTGATTGGATATGAATAAAGATTTCATAATATGAATTAACCAAAATAATATTAAGTAGGTGCCTACCTATCTATAGCCAAAACTAGTAAGTAGTAAATATAGATAATAGTTACTAATTTAATATTTAATATTCTATACTATATTTAAATTATATTATACCTATACGTACAAGTATAAAATGTATGTATGCATTGCGCATTGTGTGTATTAAATATGTATTGCAAGATTGCATATACATAATGAAGTTAGGAAAAATAAATTTAATAATATCACAATAATTGTGATACTATAGTATAATTATTATTATTATTATTATTATTATTATTATTATTACTATAGTATACTTAGTATAATTATTATACTATCTAACAGATTTAAAAATTAATTTTCTCTATCAATATTTTGTAAATAAAAGGAGGCAAGTCATAAAAGGAATTTCTTATAAAATATTATATTATTATTATAATATATTATATTAAATATCTCTTTACTAACTGAAAATTATTTTTTAAATTAAAAGAAGTTGTAAATTTAGAACTTTTTAATAATACTTCAGACAAGAAATTTTATTTGGTGTTTATAAATGTTTAAATTTTTTAATAATTTACCTAAGGAATGAAATTGTTTTTTAATGAATTGGTATGTAGTTAGGTTGGTAGGTATTTATTTAAATTTAATAATAGGTATTTTGATACAATACATCTTAAAATAAAACTAACCAAAGTATTAAATTAAAACAAATTTATTTTCTACAGATAATTCATAAAACTGCATAACTGATTGCTGAAAAGTACAAAAAAATTATTTTTATATGATTATATAATATCATATTTTATATGATTTTATAATTACCACTTACCAGTATCCACTTTAATGTTTTTGTAAAGTATAGAATTTATGTTGCATTTCTTCGTTATAATTTTCTTCGATTTTTTATTTTGCAAGCGACTGTATGTCAGGACCAATTAACATGATTATCATGATTATACTTATTAGTAATAAATACTTATAAGTTATGACTGAATGACCGGTAGGTAATCAAAGTCTATAACGAAAACGACGAGAATGAAAAAATATTGTAGTAATGTCGTAGTGATTAATGACAACCAACCAGTGAGTATTGGATACTAATTGTCCTGCCACACTGCGGTTTTTTTGCCGTTGAGTCTTAAATGGTTTTACCGTCGAGGTCATAAAACCGTTCATACAATAGCGCCACATCATAACGGCAGAGTGTCATTTTTGCCTTTCAATTCTTATTGTTCACTCTTGATTTTTTTCTAGTTAACGTTTTTAATTTTTAATTTAAGTATATATTAATTTTTTATTTTTATTAATTAATTTATAAACATACGATATACATAATAATATTATAAGTGTGTAAAATCCACATAAATATTAACTTATAAAGATTGTAGGTAAGTAACAATATAACATAACATATACATAAACGTCCTACATAATTAATTTTAAAAATATTTAGATTGTATGATATTTTTTATTTTTTATTGAGTACCCACCTATTAGTTATTTAAAATGGATTATGAAATTGTCTGGATCACCGTAGAAACCGTTGATACGTACCGCAATGTGGCGTATCACAATTAAAATCATGTACTTTTGGAACGAACGGCGAAATTATTATCGACGGTTTTGCCGTCTGACCGTTGCATGCAGCGATGACGGACGGCGACAAACGGTCAAACCGTTATAGTATGGTGCACTAAATATGGTGCACTAACCATATGTATTTTTCCGAGAACAGTAAAACCGCGGCGGCAAAACTGTTCATACGAACGGCGAAAAAACCGCAGTGTGGCAGGACCCTTATAACTGACGTCTAATTTATTAGAAAATAATAGTTCATATAGCATTATTGCAATGGAGTAAAACTAGCTATAATATTACTCAATGGTTGAAAGGTTTAGCATTAATAATATCACAATTTATAATGTTAGCTATGATGATAAATAGAATAATTTATAATTTTTATAAATTAAAATAATATTAGCCAGTCAATTTCGTAGGCTTTCTACATCCACCCACCCCTAATAGGGGTGGTATAATAATCATACCTAATAGGTATTGAAACTGCAATACCTGGATATATGGATCGGCGCCACTGTAATAACATTAAATATCAAAAATATAATATAATATTCAAACGAGGCGAAATAAATGTTAATATTTATTTCTTAATATGACAATATTAATTATGAAATACCTACCTAATAATAAAAAAAAAATTTACAATTTACTTTTAAGTAATTTTTTAAGTACCATGGTTTTCAAAAATTAACATTAAAAACTATATAAGAATATATATAAATTTTAACCATCCTGCTTCTATATGTATATAATACATATATATATATATATATATATATATATATATATATATATATAAAGGAACAACATTACACGGAACTCAAAGAACGAGTTTTGAATTACGACATGTTGATAGACAAATTAATTACAAAAGATGTACAACTAACAGCATGTAATGACGATCAGTACTTCGTCTTCGAAGACGTTCTACACCAGGTGGAGTGATCAAATATCTATAACTGAACTATGAGGTACCTACATTTATGTAATTTAATGAACGCAATTGCGTTTATTTAGATAATGTTATGTTTCACTCGTGACACCGATGTGTTGTCCGTATTCAACAGTTCGACGAGTCATCCGATTTTAACGTCGTTGAAAGGCAAGCCATCCAAGGAGGCTATTTATCCCCCAAACGGCATTATACCATTTCACGGTTTCACAATGTACGGTAAGCGTAAAAAAACCAATTAACTACCGTAGACCGTCTACGCTAGACGTCAGTCATACTAATCATTTGATACATTGTTTGGAAATGTGATAATTTCAAATTTATTGTCGATTCCAGCGGCTCCTATATGCTATCTGTTCAACGATCCTGTTTCATTATATTCTACATTCCGAGCGTTCTACCTGCGTTACTGGTTCAGACTGCACAATATAAGCTCACACCCACAAAGCATTCTAGGATTATGTATTTTATTCCAGCGACTTTTACAAAGACACGAGACAAATATCTGGTCTCACTTTATGAGCCATAATATACATCCGTGATTATACATATTGACGATATTAATTATTATTAATTATATATACTCATAAAAATAACCTAAAAATTTATGTTTATAGCATCAGGGTTGTTTTCAAATGGCTTATGAAAGGTTTCAGTGGATATTTACTTCCGGAACAATTACTAAACCTATGGGACATGATTATAGCTTACGACTCTCTGGAAGTATTACCACTATTGGCAGTCGCTATTTTGAGTTTTAGAAAAGACAATCTACTTCAAGTTAACACATTACAAAATGTAGACGTAAGTATCATTATGTATGACCACATTACATTATGGCTGGACTAAAATAATATTTATTATTCATTAGTAGCACCGGGATTCGAAATTGCCCACTAGGTAATTTCATTTACGAACAAGCATCTATTCAGGACTAAGTACAAAAATACAAAATAGGTACCTAACCTAAGATATTAATACTTTCAACACTATCTTAATATCTAAAAAAATTATTCTATTAGCTAGGTTAGCGTCTGAGAATTACTATTCTACTGTAATAAAATATATATAAAAAATATGAACTAGGGTCTAAAAACTATCCCATTTGTGTTGATGATACATTCTATGAATATTAGATTTGTTAATTTTTATAATTTACCATCCTACATTTACTAAAATATATTTTTCTCTATTTTACTTGTTATGATCATAAATATTTATCATTTAAATTTTCAATGATTTATTATATTGAATAGGTACTAGGCTAATTACCCTAACTTAATCAAAGAAATTTTACTATTTTAAATTAATGCATTTACTAATACTAAACCTAAAAATTATTGGTTGAAAAAAGCACCCAATCATCACATATTCTAATATTTATTAATATTATATAAATATATGTACACCTCAAATGATAATAATTAAAATCGGCATATTAAACAAAATAAAATATTTCTTAAGTAGATATCAAAAAGTGAAAAAAATTAAACATTCGGCTCAATCCTCAAAAAATGCTACTTTCAAATACTCTCTTCTTAGTGCATATATAAAGTATTAGTGAAGCAACTATTTCAAAGTTTTTACAGATTTATATAATTATAGAACAATTTGTGAGGAATGTTTATGTTTAATTTCAAACCTTAGCATCTATCTACTACATTTCAATACTCTTTTTTTAAAGCTATTTAACCTAAGCATCCCAACTAGCCACCAAAATTATTCTTTAATTTCAATAAAGTACAAGGACTAATATTATCTAAATTATGAAATAATATATTTTAAAATCTTTCAATAAAATGTTATGTCACATATTTTAGACTTAGCCCAAAAGATAAGTAATATATTTATGCACCTCATCAGAAAACAAACAATACACCACAAAGTATTGTAAATTTGCAACTAACCAAAAAGTATCAAAAATCATCAAATTACCATCAGTGCTTGTATTAAATTTTTTTTATAGCTTCAAATGAAAATGTGTTAAATTAATTTATTTCAGTATCTTTATATATTAAACCCATATTTGTTTATATTATAAGTTAAATAGTACCTACCTCAGTTAGTACATAACTATATGAGACAATGAACTCAAAAATAAATAGATAATAAATAAATAGGTTTAACATATGTATCCTTAAGGTTTCTATTCAAAAACTAATACATTAATTCCATATTATTCTGATTAAAACTCTTGCAGGTTTATTTTCAAACTCCGGTGTTACTAGGGATGTCCATATTAATATATACTATTGCAATTATTTTTTTTTTTTTTTTTTAGTCTGTTCTAGTTGATTTATCATCGCTCAATGTGATGTCTCTACTACAACTAGCACTAAAAGGACCAAACCAAATATAATAAATAAAAAATTTTCAAACATAATGTAACATTAGAATAAATATTAAAAATAATTAACAAATGTAAAATGTAAATCAATTTAACAAACAAAAATTGGTTGAGATTAGAAGAAAGAGTATAACTCCAAAAATACAAACATTCCCTAAAAATGTATTAAGTATGAAATACATAAAATGCCTCAGTTTACTTATCTATTTAAATGGAAATTTTATAAGAAAAAAGCAAGCTTCTTCTAAAATATAACTCAATGTTTAACAATACTCTTTAACATTATATGAATATTTTTCTATAGTTATAAATAAGTCATTAATGGTTAACATAATATTGATATACAATAAGACCCATAACATCAAGTTTAAATAAGTAATGGTTAACTTATTCAATAAAAACAATTGAATTCAATAATTAATAAATCAAAGAAATAAAAAATATAGTTTTAAAAATTAAAATCAACAATTAAGATTCTAAAGTAATCATAAATCTCATGTAAAAAAGAATAATTAACATAAGGCAATTAAAACTGACAACAATTGGTAACTTTGACAAAATTAGTTTTTTTAATATCAACTATGGTATCTGGTAATACTGTTCCTTTTGTTTCAGGCAACATTAGAACTAAGCTTGAAACAAAAATGCCTAGTATTCCACATACTGTACTTGGAATGTACCATGCCTTAGCTCCCTATAATATTAAAAAACAATTACAATTAAATATTGTAATCTGTTATACTGAAATAATTTTATTACCAATAGTTCAACTATATAAGGTGCAATAATAGATCCAATTTGAGAAATAGTCAATGAGACTCCAAGACCAGTATTTCTTATAGAAGTTGGATATAATTCTGATATATAAAGTAAACTAACTGAAAACACAGCACTTACACAGAATTTACCAAGCAAAGCAACAAATAATAAGAGATTTGATTTTTCTAGAAAATAAAAATTTATCTTATAATACTGAATCAATCTTGATTTCTAAATTCAAAATTTACCTTGTGGTATTGCTAACAATGCAAGCTGTAATATTCCTGATGTTAAAAATAAACCAGAAACAGCTTTTTTTCGTCCCGTATAAAGTAATAATGGAATAGTTGACAAATAAGCTAGACCTTCAACAATTCCATTTGAAGCAATATATATGTAACGATCAGCAGTAATATTATCACCATTTAATGCTAAAAATAAAATAATTACAATTAAATAGTTATAATAAAATATTAAATTATTTTAAAACAAAGTGAGTATTAAATGAATGATGGTTTCAAAAATAGGTATGTTACTTTAATTTAAAATTTTTTCATTAAAAAATATTTGATGTTATCTATTTTGTGGTTTTTCATTAGAAAATTTAATATAATATATTAAATAATCTTATAGAATAAATAAATAAAATAAATACAAAATAAAGTGAAAAAATTATAATTTATTACTTAAACATTTAAAACTTATGCTAAATAATTAAAAAAAAAATTATTTTAAACAATACACTATAAAAAACCCAAGGAATTAAATAATTAAAAGTTTAATAAAAAATAAATAATTTAAAAAAATTTAAACATGTTGAACACAAGCAATAAATTGGCTATAGTTTCATACAAAATGTATTAGAATTATATATTTAATTTTAATATGGTAAAACTAATAGGTATTCATTTTTCAACAATATTTATTTAAAAAAATAAATACATTTAACTTACCAATAACATAATATGATAAACCACACACAAATCCACAAGAAAAACAAATTAGAGTCTTGGCAGATAAATCATAGGTAGAAAATAATGAAGAAAAAGTTGAAAAAAATTCTACAAATTTACCAACTCTCTTCTTTGGCTACTTTATCAAAAAAAAATATCATTAATTTTAAAATAAAATAATTTTCATTTTAATCAACAGACCATTTCAATTTCATCAGCTTCTTGGTTATCATGATTGATATTAGCATAGACTGCAGATGGAACAAGTTTAGTCATAGTAGCCCAAGCCTGTAATTTTCT